GCACACCTTCATATTCAGCCAATTTTCTGTGTTGTTTTTTAACTGTAAATAAGAGTATTTTGTATTTTATGCTGTTACACATACATGCTTCTTTTATTTAGATATGAATAAACAAACTAAGAACTTCCCAGTTTTTGTGAATTTGTCTGGTATAAATATTTCATTAATTTATAAGAAACCTCCTAATCCCTAATGTTGCCTTGGGTAAAAATACAGGTTTTCTGTAAGGCATTTGTTATCGAATATCTACTAAATTATTCTTGTTTTTTAGCTCTAACTGGTAGCCCCAAAATTGGACAGTTGTATGATTTGAATGTAAAAAATTTTGAAGACCAGTTTTCCCAAATGTAGTTTGGAGGTTTAAATGTAGAAAATTTAATCAAAATCGGATAATTTTTTATCGAGATATGTACTTACGGGTTTTTAAGGACTTCATAGTAATCGTCTCACACATGTCTTACCATGCTACTCAACTTGAGTTGAGTAACTTGGAGTTGAATCAACTACAGGTGAAACTATAATAGGTAGTTGACGATTGTGTTTACACAGCTAATTAGTTACCAACTACTAGAAAAAACTACTTTTAAAAATCATATCAGAAGATTGTGATATTTTACAATTTTGTGTATAATAAGCTATTGCAGGAAGTATAGGCGGTAGGTAATGTTTTATCAAGAAAAAGTTTAACAATCAACTGTTCAACAATCAACTTGAAACAAAAATATCAGAGTCATTCAATCTGAGTTGGCTGTCAACTTGAGTTGATCAACTTTCATTCAACTAGTGTTTACATCATAGATAAAACATAGTTTACATGCTTCAACATTAATTACAACAATTAATTGCTTTCAACATTCAACTTAAAACAGGTTGCTCAACTCAAGTTGACCCGTGTAACCCTTTGCTTCTTCCCTGTTGGGGAAACTTGCTAAAAATGGAAATAAATTATTTTCCATGTGATGATGTTTTGTAGTTAATTGTATTCAAAAAATATATACATTTTTTGCCCAAGTAAACAAATAGTGCAATTATATTTATTTGAAAAGAAGAAACACTGCAGTTTTATTTATACAATACTGGATATATTCGTTTTGGGTCCTCCTGAACCCAAAAAGTGGTTTTCAAAGTGATGTCTGTGTGTGTGTGTGTGTGTGTGTTTATACATAATTTGCCTCCAGGATTGATATATTGACATAAAATGAGGTTACTAACCTGTCGTCAATCAATCCTCTATTGTCTTGGATGACTAGTTTCGGGGTTAAAACCCCATTTTCAAATCTCTTCAGTCTTCAAAGATCTTCGAAGACTGAAGAGATTTGAAAATGGGGTTTTAACCCCGAAACTAGTCATCCAAGACAATAGAGGAGAGGATTGATTGACGACAGGTTAGTAACCTCATTTTATGTATGTGTGTGTTTGTATGTGTGGATGTGTACAGATCAATTTTCCTATAAAGCCCCTAAAAATAGTGAAAAATTGGATTTTTGTAAAAAAATCTGGTTTTGATTAAAATTAAATTAGTATGTTATGGTCCTTATAATTCTAAAAAAAATTTAACTTGCTGTAAAAATTAAGGCTCAAAAGTTATTTGTGATTTTCCCCATAAAATATCACAGTTACTCCCACCGCATACCCATGATAAAGATTGTTGACAAGCTAATGAGAGAAAGTATATGTCAAATTGCTGATGCAATTTATTTTATAACTTTATGAAATGGCAACCATACAAATTTTTTTGCTAAGGGTGTTTATTTGAATTATTTTATATATTTACAACATCACAATACATCATTAAAATTGACAGGTGAATAGTCAAAGACTACTTGAATATATAGATGTCTGATTGTTTAATAGAATAGAAAATAAAATTGTGTTGTACAAATAAAAACAATAAAAAAGAAGTAATTATAAAATCCCATCAAAAGAGAAACCATTTAGGAATACTGACTTTAAAAAAACCTTTCAAAGAATTAAACACCTTCTCCAATATTGTATTTGTATAGATCGTGTATAAAGCTTTTCTAATTCTGAGTAATACTTTTGAATAGGCTTTAAATTTGGTTAGGGAGTCAAGTGGTTTTATATTTTTATTTAGTGGCAGTTTAATGTAAATTTTGGGCCCTATTTACTGTGTGGTGAGAAATGGAACTAGTTTAGCTTGTGCAGGGGAATGCAGTTTTGTGAGAGTTTTAGACAATTTTGCATATAGGTAATACACTATTACCCGAGGTCTCATGGTTAGACCTGGACCCGGGACCAATTTACTTTTTAATTTTGAGGTCCCCAGAGGCCAAAAACACCATTCCTTTAAATTCATTATTTATTTATATAATATGTTTCCGTTAGCACAATAACTCTTACAAAAATAAGCCGACTTTTGATGAAATTTGTATAAACGTGTAAGCTTACATGAGGCGGTCCATTCCAAAACTCACTTTATCAATTTTTTTTAAATTGAGTTATTGGTATCATTGCATTTAGCAGATAAAGGCACATTTGTTCATTATAAAATATTGTATCAAAACTTGTTTAATCCTACTAATATTTAATGTTAAAAAGTGTGTGTCATTTCCAAAACTCACTTTATTTTGATTGAATTATTCGAAAACTCACATAATCCACCAGCCAATATGAGGGTGTGTTTTTGCTTTTTCAAAACCATCCTAATCCTCTTACCCAATCGGTGGCCTGAATTCAGTCATGTGACTTTGTTGTCATTTTGGCTCTGTCGTCTGACTAACACATGAGGAGGAGTATTATGAAGGATACCCTGCTCAAGATGACAGTTTTGTAGTTTAGAAGGGTACGGTACTCTTGCTCTTAAAGTACCAATCAATTAATGTGGAAGATGTTAAAACTTACTTAAAACTCATTTTTCTCAAAAACTACACATATTAGGACGAAAAGGCATGCAATAATACACAAAGACACATATCTTTCACTTCAGATGAAACAAAACATAATAATTCACTGTCAGGATAGTTAATGAAAGGTTTTTTTTCATTTCCTGCAAATTTTAAAAATAAGGATAATGTGAGTTTTGGAATGGACCGCCTCACATATTCAAACAAGTTTGCGAACCAGCATGATTGAACTATGGAAACAGGGGGTTATGGGGGGTTTTAAGGGGTAAAAATAGGTCTTTACCATTTTTGACGCTAAAAATATAAAATTTTGCAATTTTTTTCTAAACCGTTTGGTAGAGCTAAAAAAATAATTTAGGATAATGAAGTGTTGTCATGCGCTTAATCGTGAAGGAGACAATTCCAAAAACTGCAAATTTGGAATTCCCATGTTATTTTAGTCATCTAGTTTGTGTTGATCAAATTTAGAAAACTTATTTGTTTCATATTTTTCTAGCAACATTTAACTATAAAAACTATATATTACCTCCCTGTAGCAGCAAACCTAGGTGCCGTACTTGTTAAACTTACGTTATTTAAATACAGAATAAATATTTTCAAAAAGACATTTTAGTAAATATTCAAATAAAGCAAATTGAAATTCGCTTACTTTGCAGGTTTATTGGGGTGGGGATATTAAAATCTTGTACAGTATCATAATTGTGTTGAGATATGTTTAGTATGAATTTGCACATGAACTACCCATGGTCAATGATAAGCACTTTAAGGTCCTTGTCATTCCTATTGTTAAATTCTGCCTGCACAACTTCAGTAATGCACCTTTGTTTATTGATGACCCCAAATAACCGGATGCTTATTTTAAAAAGAGCATTACTCATTTGCTTGTTATATGTGTCAATTTAAATAATTTTTACTACATTAAAATGTTTTCAAACTCTTGCCATTTAAGAATACACTATTTTTACTAAACATATATTTGACTACACTTTGTCAGATGCCCTTTACTTAGAAAATAATGTCAGTTAGGTAGAGTCCACTTTCATTCATGCAGCTTTTAATAATTTTCTTAAATTCATCCATTACACGACACGTCTACTATATAATTTTCAACATTTACCGGTTAACATAACACTTTTGGTCCCTAAGATCCATCAGGGTTCGGGGTTTGTTACACACACTCAAATTCGGAGACCTTGGGGCCACAGAATACAATTAAAGGTAAAGTTTAATAAAACCTTCCTAAGAGCATAATAAACACCAGGGCTATTGAGTTATTTTATGTTTGAAGTAAATACATAAATTGATAGGTAAATTTGTTTAATAAAATAGAACTGAACTAATTCATGAGTCAAAAACTATCAACAAAAAAAATTAGCAAAAACAAGTTAAAAGTCAACTGCAATTTAAATAATGTTCAAGACATATCAAGTCATGCATTTTGTACTATGTTCGTAACTATGTAGTGTACTATGTTTGTATCTATGTTGAAAATAAACATAGATATTGTTCATAAAATGTTTTTGTCTTACCTATGACCTCAAAAGAGTGCTTGAAAATGTCAACAATTAGGAACCAAAATGCTTGCCAAACCATTAAAATCTTAAAACCATTTAAACAGCATCCTGACAGTTATTATTCAGCCAAGAAGCTTCAATTCAGAGGGATCCCATTTTCCTCAAATTGTTAATCCACCTGAGAATTAATTGTATTTTGGCTGAATAAAATATCCTGGCGTCTAAGATGAATGGAAACTATATTTAAAAACAAGTCGGTGCACTGTTGTGATAGGCTTGTCATTTCGCATACACATCATGAGCAAACCTGGACGGAGATTACTGTCCAATGCTTTATGGCTAATAAAAATGGCATAATATGCAACAATGAATAACAACTCTCTCCCCTCCCCCCCCCCTCATGTCTATCATAACACCTCTCCTGCGCATATACTATCCGTTTAAAAAACGTCCGGTTCCTGTTGGTCACCCTGTATATTGTTAAGTTAGCACACAATATTCATAAGGTAAGCCATTGTTTTCCGTTTCCGTTGACTCTTCATTATCACACCAGTATGTTATCAGGACTGTGTGATTGTGTTTGTTATTTGCGAGTCTATTGAAATGTGTAGCAATAATTAAAGGTAGTTCTTTGGGTTAGTTTAAACAATTAAAAACTATCGTGAAAATGATTGGTTATATCAATTAGAAAAAATAATTTTGCTATACTTTAGTGATTTTACCCTAGAAACATGAAATACACCAAAGATGATAAGAACATGCTGGAAATTTATCGCAGAAAATCAACATTTAATAGTAAACACCTTGAAGAATTCATCGAAACAAAAGAGGCAGTTGACATAAAGGTAAAATTATTAAATACAAAATATTTATACAATTTGTATTTTAATTTTTGACTTCTGAATAAAAGAAAGATAATATTACAGAATTTGTTTGGAAACTGTCAATTCAATGGGAATAATATTTTTATCACTTGAAATTATGTTGACTCTAAATATTGATCTTGAATTCCTGAATATTGTGAACGAATTGAAAGCTACTCTCCAATTATTGATGATTTTATTTTACCTAAATATACCACATAGCTTATTGGATATTCACAACTCATGTATGGGATCAAAGAGTACCGGTAACTTTGTACTCTTTTTTTGGATGGACCATTAATGGTGTTAACGTTGGTTTTAGAGAGAAGTGTTCCGAAGGCTTGAAAATGATCCGCTATTTCAAAAGTCTAACACCTCAGAAAATCTGGACCAGATAAGAAAGATTACTCATTTACGAAGTAAGCGAATCGCTGACTATGGAATCCTTACTGATCCAAGACAAAACAAAATGCCACTGTGGGTAAGTATAGTGTCGAGCTTGACATACGACATGCAAAGATTGGGTTTATTTGTATTTTCAGTACAAGAAAACCTCACACTCTAAAATTCTAATATACAGGGTGTTTCAAAAATAATCATCCAATTTTGAAAAATCATAGCTATGAATCCGATTTGATCAAACAATATACTAAAATAATATAGAAAGATAAAAATATATAATATAGAAAGATAAAATAATTAGAAAGAGGAAGTTCTCAAGTTTCATGGAAAATATTCAAAAGTCCCATTTTCAAATTTTAACCCCACCAAAAATCCAAAATGGTGGACATCTGAAAACAAAGGTTTTTTTTAACCGGCTATAACTAGAACACGTTAAGATCTAGCAAAGACTTGAAACATTTTTTATGGTCAGAAATTAAATTTTCTACAAGACACTCTTGGGCGTTTTCTGAAAATCGCATCCCTTCAACCCCAAAAAACGCCCTACTTTAAAAAATTGGCATTTATTTTCAAATTGTCAATTATCTTAACAACTTTTTTCTACCAAAGTAAATTTTTATTGCAAGTTGTACATATGCTGTGCATCTAAAGGGGACCATATTGAGCACCTGTATGTAAAAAAATCTTTTACCTAACCCACCATGTTAAACTTCCCTATCCCAAGCGTGATGTATACAACTTCCTTACTTCTCGAGTGATGTAAAATATCAAAAACTCACTCGGTGATGTAAAGAAACCCATTTAAATAACATTGAGTGCTTAACTTAAAAAATATACCTCTATGGAGCCAACGACGTTCAACGCTAGAAATCAGCTGTGCGCTTGAATGTTATTGTTATGCTTTAAAGTATTTTCCTAACCTAGCTTTTGTTTGTAAACGAACGTTACTGTTAGAAGATGAGTGAAATGGATAGTGAAAAATATTGTTCGTAACCCTATGTATATTGTCGGGTCAGGTAAAATATTGTACGTTACACGTTACGCAACAGCGTACGTATTTACATCACTTGGGTGAATTATGCTCGTTGCACAACATTCACCTGCGTGATGTAAAAACGCTCTTACTACACTTGTAATGTAAATAGCTATATTACTTACTCCTTAATATAAAATTTACTTCATATCCATTATTCATGAGATTATTAATCATGTGATTATTAGTTTTCAAATTATAAACCTACGAAAGCGGATGATTCTTTTTTGAAACACCCTGTACTACTTTTTATTTGGGGTTTTAGTTTCATATGTTGACAAATTTTTGCATGATAAAATAAAAAATGTAGGTATTTAAAATGAAATGATATTTTGATAAAGGTATATAGGGATAAAAATAACTCCTTTAGCCCCGCAACACATAGGCATAGATTGAATACATACGTTATATCTGTAGAATGGGGAAAAAACATTTTGCTGCCATTAGAAAATAAACACATTCATTAATAAGGCAGGATAGGACGGGAAAGTTCTTAGTACATTGTGTCTCTTTACCGTACTTAATTGATTGGGACTGAAACAGTCAAACAAGACCAAGTCCCAGCCTGCAGTCTTTTTTATTCAAAAAATAACAATATAAAAATGTCTCTCTTGTCTTTTGAACAATGCTGACTTTGCTAGAAGTGTACAAACAAACCTTACTGAGAAACTATTAGGTGCTACTATAGCTGTTACCCACAGGCTTGATCCCGTTTGACTTCATAAGTATTAATACAACTATTTATTGGTTAAGTTAAGCTGAAATAAACAAAACAGAATACAGTAATACAATTGAATAAGTACAGTAAGTAAGTAAGTTTACACCTATCTAGGGACTAAGTTTCATCGGACCAACGGTGTTCGAGCTCATAACGTTCAAATATATATACAAACTTCCTCTTTTATAAATATATAGATGATATGATACTTTTATTTCCAAAACACATTGTCAGCATTTAGTTTATTTTTACAAATTATTTACAAATAGAGTACTAATGAATGCATAGACATCATATACAACATTATTATGCCAGAATAATCAGAGTTAATTATGCAGCAATAATTTGCTGGTGAGCAATCATGCTTGTCTTGTAAGCACAAAAGCCACTATATTTTCTATGTATGAGTTAGTTATATTTGACTTTAAATTACAACGTTTCAGTTTCATGCAGTTGTCAGTGCCTTAGTGCAATATGACGTCAATCTCCTCATCAAATCCGCAATATCAACTCATTTTTTTGGGGCGGGTGTCAGAGGATTGGGCAATCACGAGCAGCAGAAACATCTTGAAGACGCTATGGATGAAAAGGTATATTTAAGAAACTTAACAAAGTACCGGTACATATTATGTTTTCTTTTTAGATGTTTAGTTTGAAAATAAAATAGAACCTTTGACTAGGTATATATAGTAAATGATAGAACACATAGAAATCTTGTTAACAACTATGGACATTTGGCTTTATTAACTGCAATTATTGTATGTAGTGCAAAATCAAAAAAGTACAAACTGTGAAAGGAAAATAAACGGTATCAGTAATCTGACACTATAATTTCTCCCATTCGCCTGTCATTGTCACTAACCCTTATCACATGGGCAAGCGGAGGGAGTAATTAAGTATGGTAAAATTAAGTTTCAATTGAACTCAAAAATTCTTTATTCTTCTTTCATAATTAATTTTGAACCGTAATTTTTACAGAATTGAGGGGTTGTGTTATTTTGTCTAGAGTTGAAAGACCATAACATGCTAAATTCTATCCAAAATCATTTTTGTCTCATTTTCCTACTGTAAGTTTATCAAACGCCTGGAGATTAGTGCCCAAGTACCAAGTTTAATCAAAATTTGACCACAGAGGTAGTCTATTCTGTAGCTCTGTACTGGTACATATCCAGACAAACACACACACATAACTCGGAAAACCACTTTTTCGGTTCAGGGGGACTCAAAACAGATCCAAAATTCAAACTAGAAAGTTTTACAAAAAATATTTCTCCGTACACTATAAAAGGTAGAAAGTAGAAATTGCTAATGATAACCAGTTTTAAACTAAAATTTTGTTATTGCTGTATTTTAAATTAAAACTGTAATAACTAAAGAGGAATTTATTTCTTCAAAATCCTGAAAAATTTTGTTTATAAATGTGTACAAAAATTAAAAAAAAGATTATTAGAAACTGAAATTAAATAAATTAATCAGTAAAAAACTTTTATATTTAAATTATTTATCAAGGCAAAACATCTTCTTTTAAATAGATAAGTCACCTCCACATCGTGTATATTCCTTTAGAAGAAATTTTATCAGAACTGAATTCACTATCAAAGTTGTAAAAACTGTTGGTTTGTTTAACTTGCCATTATCAGTTTTAAAAGTTGACCTATATCGCTATATCAGAAGTCTTTAACAAGAATCAACATTCCTTTTACTAATATAACAAATAAAAAATACCACTGTAAATAATCTGTCTAAAAGTGTTTTAACACTTTCAAACACTTCCTTATGGTTTAATGAGAGATGCAAATTTAGCATGGAATAATCTTTAAAGTACCGTATAAGAGTGAAAATTTAAAAACGTACGTTTTCAGGAAACACACTTTGCAAATTTTTTTCCCCTTTTTTCAAAACTTTTATTATTTTTTTGATTTCATTAACATTTGAAGTTTCATAAAATGTCCATGGTAACGCAAAATCTTTGGTAGTTTTTTTAAAAAAAGAGCATCTTTAGTGGAAAAACACAAAATCCTGTCACGACCATAACAGACGTTTAAATGAATATTAAAAATACTGTAGTTAATATTATTTTTATAACTATGTTTTGCTATAAACTAATTTACTTTTATGACCATTATACATTAAAAAGGTCACTGAGCTTTTAGTATATTTGGTCTTTCTAGAAAAAAATAAAAAACTCAAAAAAATGGAAAAAAAAACCAATAATATCTTTTTAAGTTTGTATAACTCCGAAAAAACTTACCTGAGACCCGAAAAATCGTTATGTTTGCATAGAGGCGTGCTTCTTTTGTGTATAAAACATTAAAATATGACGATATTTTAATTTTTGAAATTTTTATGACAGAAATCATAAACGTGATGGTCAGGGACAAGCGGTACGGTCGTGAATTTTATAAAAAAATCTAAATCTTTCTAAACAATCCTTTAATTATACTGTTAGTTATAATAAAAATATGTGTTTCAATTGAACTAAACTGTTCAAATTACAATTATATTAAAGTTATTGTCACGACCAAACACACTATAATCCATAAGGCTGGATAGGTCGTGAAAAAACCCGCGATGGTCGTGAAACTTTGGTCGTGAAATTACGTGTAATTTGGCTCTGTTCTGGCGGTAGCTCTGCACCTCATGTTCGAGGATACAAAGTGGACTTCTAGGTTAATCTAGCAATTGAAATATCTTATAAACAAAAATTAACACCATGTCTACTTCATCGAATGACTATGTACGGTCATGGACACACCAAAATTACAAAAAACACAACCTTTCCTGTATTAATCTTGTAATTCCTCCTTTCAACTCGAAACGACCGGCACTACAATCCTGACGTACACCCCGAACTAGTCTCTAAAACCAACTGACTCCATCAACGCCAGGCTTGCCACTGTCGTGCTCCAAAGTTGAAAAATTTTCCCAAATGGTCGTGACGCCAAATCGAGGGACAGACTTATTATGTCATGGTAGTCAGTTTGCAATGACAATAAAATTATAATATGCTCCTTTTTTGTAAGTTTAATAACCATTGATGACATAAAAATATGGCTTTATATATTTCTGCATGAATAATTAGTCTAAAAACAGCGTGAAAGTTGGAAAATGTACCCTAGTAGGGACACGTCATGGTCGTGAATTTCGAGACTTTAAAAATACGAAAAAAATACCTAGAACCTATTTAAAACCAAATAAATGTGTGTAACATGTTGCCCCCATCCCAAAAAATATTAAAACACATAATAGTAAACTACAAATCGAGTAGCTACGAAGTAAAAGGCCAGGGACATGAAAACGTACGTTTTTAAATTTTCACTCATAAGATTATTTCATGCCAAAATTTGCATCTCTAATTAAAACTGAAAATGTTGTATCTTGGCTCAATACTTGATTATCAACAAATATATTGTATAGACTTTAATTTGTTCCTAGTTGTTTTGTTGAAAAAGATACAAAGTTTGACTTGTCTGAATATAGAAGGAAATTTTTGCTATCTAAAAAGTATTTAAGCTATAGAGAGCAATATAAATATCATCCCATATCTCCCAATATGGGATGATATTTCAATATTATTAACAGTGTCAGCAGAGACAACCATTTTTGTCTTCTGTATAAAGCATGTTTTTGTGTCTCTGCCTCAAGTAACTCCTGGCAGACCCTTCAGGTACCTAGCAAAGGAACCTTAACGGGCCTGCATGTATTAAAAAATGTACAAACTGCCGCAGTGAAAATGCACCTCTAACAACTGAGACATTTGGGATATAACTTGAAGCTCAGTTGCCATTAATATTTGTATCCAAATAGTAATGTTAATGTTGGAGACAATTAATTGCAAACGTAGACAATATTTTTGGGTAATCTATCAGTGTTTACTATTTGTTGTAAAACAGCAGGATTTAATGTTGTTCATTTCAATTTTTTGAAGAAAATTAGAGCTACATTATTGTACTATTATTAATCTTTAGGTGATTTTAACTTTATATACAGTAACATATTATTTATTCAAATTAGTCAATAGTTTTATAATTGCTTTACTTTTAGCGGAGCCGTGTTGTCGAGTTCGATGTTATATTTTATCGGCCGTATGTGTGCGCACTATGTGTTTATTCGTCGTGTGTTTGTGTAAATGTAAAAAACTGTTACTGACGACCTTCATATGAAGTAATATCATCCTTGTACACACCTGATGATGACCTCCTAGCAGGTCGATACTAGTTGTGAAGACAACAATCGGATTGCAAGAATAAGGTATTTAAACCACTATCACTAGTTTAGGTTGGAGCTCGTTCGCTACGCTAACTTGCCTCCAGGTTGAAGTTCGTTCGCTACGCTCACTCACCTTTTGGTTGCAAGCTGTTGTCATAAATGTAAAAAAATAATAGTGCTGCACCCTGTTGGTAAACCTATTAACTCTTTAATGCTATTTAACATCACAGAATCAACTTTTGTTTAGTTGAACCAGCTGTTAAGATTCTTTAATTCCATTTAAATATGATTACTCATAAGGTTAACATGGGAAACTCCAGAGCCACTGGGCCGGAGCGCGAAAGCCCGATCAGAATAAAAACTACTTTTCCTATTTAATGCCCAAAGAATCGGTGTACCGAATTTAAGCCTCCTAGGTAAATTTGAAGTGGGAGAATTAGTGATGAATGAGTGAGTGAGTCAGTGAGGGCTTTGCCTTTTATAAGTATAGATAGTCAATAGTGTTATTATTGCTTTACTTCACATCTCGGGGCCCTAACTGTACCCCATCAAAACCAACTTTAATAATCAATAATATGTTAGCTGTAGAGTGTTGAACTATTATAGTATATTTTACATTCCAGATAGTTGGTTGCTTCGCTCTGACCGAGGTGGCACACGGTACAAATGCGAGAGCAATGAGAACCACAGCAAGATTTGATCCAGAAACACAAGAGTTTGTACTACACACAGAAGACTTTAGAGCAGCCAAATGCTGGATTGGAAATCTTGGTAAAATATATGTTTACCGTACACTAAAGTACACATGCAGGCTGAGTGACTCTGGCTTTTATCCAATTCAAAATTCAATGAATATGATTACATCTTACATAAAAACTTTTGATTGTCATGTGGGATAAAACTAATTGGCATTTATCATCAACATACCAACATTTTATTCTGTGGTATTTTTTTTGCTGGAAGCAAATAGAGAAGGAAGAACCTAAACGCTTTTTAGAGGAAGCGGTCCAAGCCCATATAATATAACATATTTTGTTGTGGGTGTGCCGGGAATCAAATCCGTCCCTCCCACATCAAAGTCTGAGACGCAACACACAGATTGTATGACAAAAAATAAGATTTAAAATGTTATCAGGTCAATCAGCCACTCATGCAGTGATTTTCGCACAGCTCTACACTCCTGATGGAAACAACCAGGGTTTACATGGCTTCCTTACTCCGATAAGAGACCCAAACACCTTCTTACCCTTTCCCGGGGTCATCATAGGGGACATGGGAGAGAAAATCGGACTTAATGGAATGGATAATGGGTAAATATGTAAATTTGGTGTTGACATTCAGATCGGAAAATGAGTTGTGTGTCCTAGATAAGAAGTGTCCAAGAACTTATAAAGTTTGTTTGCAATCATTATTCTTTTCAACCCAAAATTTCAAGATGATTGCCATGGTCATTCATACACGGTAAGCAAGGAGTATAAACTTTGAAGCTAAGCCTAATGCTTTAATTGTTCTTGTACAAGGCTGTCTATTTTCAGTTAACAAAATAAATTTTTCTTTGACTACCACAGATTGTGTGAAAACTGTATCTAATTTAATTTCCCTCCTTTTGGTTCTGGATAATAGTAATAAAAGGTTTAAATCAAATTGAGCCCTGCTTTACCTTATAAACTATTTTTATTTTAATAATGCCTCTTAAAATAATGCCTTTTTAATAATGCCTCTCCTCGTTTACTTGTAAACTTAGCCTAAACACTGTAGAACTTTATATCCAAAACATTTTATTGACCTTGTTATCTTCAACAGGTTTTGTATATTCAACCAATATCGAATTCCAAGAGAAAACTTACTCAGCAAATATGGGGAAGTCACTGAAGATGGCCAATATTTTTCACCTATCACAGACCCTCGGAAAAGATTTGGTGGGTTTTAAAAACATATGAAAATCCTACATCAAATGATTCACACATGCATCAACATAAAATATTTAATGTTGATACTCCTCCAATATTAACATAATTTGTTGAAAATGCTCTTGTGAAATGACCGATGTTTTAAAAACTATACGTTATCTTAATTAAACAGAATTTATCTTAATGGACATAATTTATTATAAAAAATTAAACACTCTTAAATTCCTGAGACACTAAAGTTTTTTGTGCATAATTTGTAGGATAAAGTTAATAAATATGAGTGAAATATAACAGAATGAATGTATGACATTACATATTATTGTTGAAAGAACACTTTTTGCCCGTGTGATGAACTATATTTTTCGTTATATTGCAACATTATTTAACAAAATAAGCTAGAAAACAAAAATACTTTTCATCTAAAAATACCTTTCAAAAAAATTTTCAACTTGTTTCCAATTATGCTAATGAGTCCAAGCAAACTAACAAAACTTACACAGGGATCATTAAAAAAATTGCAAGAAAACGTTTTATGGTTTTATTTTGTAACTAGCTGTGTACCCGTTCTACGCACGGGGATCTTATAGTAATCAGTTGAAACCTTCTTATATAAAGAACAGCAGTTGGTTTGCATATTTTCATATATGCTGGCCAAACTATTATACATAACTTCATTTTATGTCGTTTGTTGTTGTTCCGGATCGGTATGACAATCAATAAAAGGCTAAATTACCTGTGTCCGCTGGTCGATCCTAATACAGGAGATGCATTTAGGCGATCAGTCCTAAAGGTCTTTAGCTTCCCCATTAGGTGCGTCTTGGAGTTTTTGAAACACATTATTATTATTATTATTATTATTATTATTATTATTATTATTATTATTATTATTATTATTATTATTATTATTATTATTATTATTATTATTATTATTATTATTATTATTATTATTATTATTATTATTATTATTATTATTATTATTATTATTCTTTGTCATGAGAGCCGAAGCCCCCTGACTACATACCCGGTACCTATCGGAGACATACCCGGGCCCCATGATGTAGGCCGAAGCTTACGCATCAACCTTTAGCACATCATGGGCGGATGACTTAAGGTCATCAGGCTCACCGGCTGCCGAAGCAGACCCTTCGGAAAGAGGTTTGCCCCTCAATCCTAACCAGGGATTCCGGCTACTTGTTTAAGCGTCACTCCACCTGGGTTCCACCAGGTACAGAGCCCTAGAGGACCATAATGGAGCGCCCCGACGCATTTAGTGCAAGCAACACTCGGGACCTATCTAATCCCTGACAGGCAGAACCCGCCATCATAGCCAGAAGGAAGGGGACCCCTCCCATTTACACCACTACCCGATCGAGGTCTTACCCAGTTGCTGGGAAACCAGAGATAACCAGAGCGATAGATCCCCAGATACCCCTGGCGGGCTCGGACCCAGCACCCGATCTACTTCGTTTGCCCGTCAGACCCAACATCACTGCCAGGCCATCAGGGTTTCCCAAAAGGAGGCAGGTATAGAAGTGGGACCCACCCGGATGAACCTATCCACCAGAGGTGGCGACACCCTTGACTCAATTGAGGTTCCGGGAAGAACCCCCCACACTCAAGATAACCATACCGTCCGTGATCAGAGACAGGGATTGGTTTGCATAAGTGCCTACAAACCGTTACCCTCACACTGCGGAAAGTTACGTTTCCCTTGAGTGTCCCCGTGAGCTTACGGGTACTTGCCCGTTTTCACCTCCAGGAAAGGCTACTTCCAAAGTCGAGGATTTGCCACACTGAATGCTGGTCGCACACAACAAGCAGGCCGAAACCCAAAGAACCACAGACACAGGTAGGTTAAAGATTATGATGCACTTCCATCTCTCCTAGAGCTAAACACCCCTCCATCCTGGATGAAGGAATGTCACTGGGACCCAATGCCCAGTCGTCCATGTCTGTGGCCTACTTGAAATGCCGATACCAACACCGAGCAGTTACCTCCCCTTTGGGGGCTAGGTTTTTCACCTCCCAGGACGAGGCTACTTCCAAAGTCGAGGATATGCCTCACAAAATGTCAGTCGAACACAACAGGTAGGACGAGCCCGAAGAACTCAAGTCACAACCACAGTTACAGGTAGGTGAGGAGTGGCGGAATTAACGGCGTCACTGAGAGCTAAACACCCCCCCACCCTGAATGGAGGGAGTGTCACTGGAGGCTCCCCCTAAGGGGCTGGCGCTTACCAGTCGTCCATAACTGTGGCCTACCTGAAGTGCCGGGTCAAACACCGGGCAATTACCTCCCCTCTGGGAGAAACACATACACGAACTGTACACTTATACACATGACGAATAAAACATAAATACACAGTAGGCCTACTTTTATTTTTACTATAGACAAGTAGACGCGCGTCGGTCGTGTGCCGAGTCTCGACTGAAAACGCTCATTTAAAAAATGTAAGTTTCCCAGAAATATACAACATTGATTCAAGGTCTATTTCCCGGTTATCAAAACTCAAGAACAATTTTATACACAAAGAATCTCTATTTTCATTTACTGTTACCCTACATATTATTGCACTTGCGATTAATTAAATCCGTTATGTAAGGAAAAACGTTTTTAATCTTAATTGGTTTGGATTTGCTTTCAAGACGTGATCGGAAATGGTTGCGGTATTTGTAAACAACATTCTATGTAAAAATATCAGTGACAGCTAGAAGAAATAATCTTGATTTGGACAGCTGTTCGTTATTTCATAGAAGAATATGTGCTAAACATTGGGAGAAAACTTTACAAAACATCGCACAAAATTGGGTTTTTAAACGTCCGTCATTTTATTTACAAAGTGGTGACGCCATATTTTAATGGCTAAAGACAATTTCGCCAATCCAGTGAATACATTAAAATGATTTGGAACTTGATAGGTACTCTCGTTTTTCAGGAGTAGGCCGCGTAAAATGGCTCTTGGGTCGTAACAGACATGAAGACAGACAGAAATTTAGATGAGACTTGTTTCGGTTTCTCTAATGTATAAAACGTAAAAATAACCTAAAAGTTTATGATTCTGAGCAATGTACAGACAAAACTCTAATTTTATTTATATAGACAAGCAGCTGTTTAGTGAGTGATTTCAATAATTTCGTCTATTACAATTGTGTGTCAGTGGGTATTTACCGATTGATATGTCAATCTATTGAAAAGAATGCAACAATAAGCTACCACCGAGGTAATAAGTTGATATGTACATATGATTGCTACATACGACTAAAAAGGCTTTTTACTCGCTAGGGAGTGAACAAAGCTATTTTAGATTGCAAGGTATGTACTAAAAACTTGCTGTTTTTTCTGCAGATGACTAAAAATACAATTTATCACACATAAATCATTGCAAAAGTTTATGACCAGATATTTTATAGCATTTTAAAACTGTTAACCCCCTCCTTTCCACCAAATTGTCTGTTCAAGATTCTCAGTAGAAGCTGGACACCCTGTACTGTATTTACAAATTTCAAAACAATTTTCAATTGAGAAATCTCATCACATCACAGAACACGTCAGCTGTCAAGGGCTCATAACCAAGGCCCCACTAGAAAAAACAGGCCATGCTGCAAGGATCCATGACGTCACACTAGTGGATAGGTTTCATTGATAAATGCATTGCCATCACCATTCCCATATGTTTTAGGTAAAAAAAAACAAGCTGGCTGTTTGTAAGATTTTAATGGTAAGAGTTTAGTACAACTATCCACCACTGTGACGTTGTGTTGCGATGCCCGTGCTGCAGCATGGCCTGTTTTTTCTAGTGGAGCCTTGTCATAACCATCCCAGTGATGCTCAATATGAATATGCCATAAAAATATCAAAATTGCCTTAACAGTGTTTCCCTACCCCTATTTATTGGGTGGGCATTTATAAAACAACCATTGTTGACGAGAGTGTCTTGGGGTGTTTCAGGGTTTTCCCTGGGTGCCCTGCTGGTGGGCAGAGCTGGAGTGATAAGCATGTGTGTATCTCTATTGACCATCTCTCTGACGATTGCCATCAGATATTCAGCCATCAGGAAACAGTTTGGTCCGTCTGATGACAAGGAGCTTTCAATCATCGAATATCCATTACAGGTTGTGTTTCTGTGATGAACTATTTTATATCTGAGAAGTGTATTAAGTTTGTTCAACCAAAAAATATTTTTCATGGATGAGCTTTTGAAGGTACATTTTCCTGCAACGATTTTTTTTTTTTATTGTATGGAACATTTTGGTTTTAAGAAATGTTTTACCATTACACTCTTCAATATAGTTGCATCATTCCATAGTTATTACGAAGATACGATTCAGAATATTTAAGTGGAATACAATCAAGTAAATGAAATAGAGTCATTTTACAATCTACTACAAAGACTACAGAGTAAGCCTAAATGTTCCATTGATTTAAATATGTTCCAACAAACATAAAGCGAAGCTCATTGCTGAACTCTAAATAATCAAAACATCTTTATCTAGAAAACTCCACAACATATACCAGTTATCTCTCTAAAACCTTCAAATTATTTACTGGTTTCAAAAGCCTCTTTTTGTCATATGTTCCCTTTATCTTATGAACCCAAAAATCCAAGTATGTATTTCCATGTATGTAAAACACGATTTCATCGGTGTACACAAAAACACAAGGGGTTATGAATGAAAAGGAGAAAGGACAATATGAGAGTACAACAGAATTCACTTACCCAGAATTGTTGTCGAATTACTAGCTTCCGTCCAAGATGGCCATACCTTTTGTTTAAGATGCCCTTTTCTACCAAGCCACAATTAGCTGAGCTTGTCACACCATGAGTTGCACACCAGATCGATGTGGTGTGAACCTGTAATCTACTGCAGTATCTCCTGGTACCACTTAGACCTCTTGGCCATTGATCAGCCCTTACAATCCACCCCAGTAACAGTCCTGGTAAAGCCGATGCTAAAGTGGCAATATATTCCAAGTAAAGTTTTAAGTAATTTTTTTTAACTATGCTTACTTGAGACGGCTGTAATTGAAGATATTAGGTTTCTTATGTTTGTTGTTGTAATGTAATTTAACAACTGAATTTCATTACAGCAATGGAGGTTGTTCCCACATTTAGCAGCGTTGTTTGCTATGAAAGCGTCAACCAGGATAATGATGGAAACTCAAAGTCACCTCTCTCAATCACTTGGGGATCCATCAAGAATTCTTACTCAGGTAAAATTCGGCATTCAAATTCAAATTCTTTATTGACACAAACAAATTTTATAGACTGTTATAAGCAGTAACGGATGTCACACTATTGTATTTCAATAAAGTTTTTGAATAATTATTTTCCTCACTAAAATAGCTATATGTGGTTACAGGAAGAGATGGATACTTTAACTGAAGAACACGCCCTGCTGTCTGCGTGTAAAGCAGTTTTCAGTTGGAAGACCCAAGTGGCAATTCAAGACTGCAGGGAGTCGTGTGGTGGACATGGGTATCTCAAAAGTAAGCAATGGAGCACTGCGCTTGCCTAGAGATTAAAGCACAAGGAATGTGAAAGCCAAAGATCAAATCCCACCCGTTGTCAGCTTTGGCTAAGTGATAATGCTGAGACCCGCATGTCGGAAGCCCACCTTTATAGCTATAGTTCCACCTATCAAAAATACCAAAAGGAATGATATTTCAGATAAGGAGAACGTTTCTCTGTGTTGTATAAAACTCCCTCTACTATAAGTTGTATGATAACTATTTAGCAGACACTTGTTTATCCAAAATGTTTATCCTATCCATATGGTATGAAAAATATAGTCATATTTGGAATAACTGACTCTTCGGCTCCGACTGTGTGTAAACTGTCCTAGTGTTATGTGTGAAACGATCCCGGGCTAGAGTCAGAGTTCTAAATGGTAGGGTAAAAAATTGTTCCATTTTCCTGCAGTCAAGGTTATTTTGCTTACACCACATAATTTTTATTAAGCGTTTGCGTTGTTGAGATCCTCAAAACAGTGTTAACAGCTGTGCTACAGTATATCACACAAGTTTGCAAGTCTCCTTTGTGTGATAATTCAGAGACCATTCCTTAATAAATATGTACATACCAGAGGTTTTAATACACATCCTTTCAACCCTAATACATTATTTAGTTTTATTTTATTGACACTTGTTTTGAGGTTCCAGACTGGGGGAGTTGAGGAATGACAATGATGCCAACTGCACATACGAGGGGGACAACAACGTGCTACAACAGCAGGCTAGCAACTGGCTGCTGCGGCTGTGGCGGTCCCGCGGCAGGGAGATGTTCCCTTCACCCCTCGGTTCTGTGAAGTTCTTGTACCAGAGTCACCCAGACCATCTGAATGCCACAACTGAGGAGGAAGTTTCCCAGCCCTCTGGTGAGTTGGGAAACCCTAACCCTCTTTGACAGGACAACATGAGTGAATAAGTAGCAGCAGTTTATAGAATAATATTAACCACATAAGCTAAAACTATAAAAAATATAATTTGTGTAAACGGTGGTTTTCAATACATGTGTTGGGTGATTAGGCATGAAGAAAACCCTCTCTAAAAACTCTCTCTTTTCAATTCCTATCTTTCTTACTTTGAAAATGCTGTCAGAGCCAGTGAAGATATTCTATTTTTTGTGTATAGTACGAGTTTTGTGTTTCTTATGCCAATTTTGACTCTTTCCCATTCAGGCGATAGCCTGCCATCCTCACAAAAATATGTGATAAAACCGAGGATCTTGAGCTATATGTTACACCCTTAACGTACAAAATTATCGTTTTATGAATTATCCTCTATTACAAAAACTTTTTCCATCACACAAACTAAAAGTGTTGTTTCAATTCTCTTTCTTTTTTTTTTTTTGCTTTGCCTTGGCCCAGTCGCCCTGTTGCGTTACGCTGAATGCACCGGCGCACAACCAAAATACGCTTCTAGGAAAACAATCAATAGTGTCTGACTGGGTAGCACAAATAATGCATTGTACACCACTTAGAAAGTGCGTTGCTAGGAAAACACGTCTTAAACTTGAGCTTGTGCTGAAAAGAGTGAATCACTACTGTATGCTATAGTAACTACATTACATGCCTATAACAATAAAAACCTCTTCCTCGTAATTAGAAGAGAACTTAGATTTTAGATGTAATAATGTATCCCATTTCTCCAAAGATTTAACTGGACCTGTGTAAAAATCCAACATTATAGTGTGATTCACATTACTTTGTGGTCTCAGTGATTATTGCTGCATATCATTGGCTGTTGTGCTGGCTCATGGAGAGGACCAATGAGAGGTGTGAAACACTGCAGAGCTTTGGTCATGAGAGGTTCTCTGTTCTGAACCATTCCCAAGTCTATAGAGCCAAGAGCCTGTCTATAGCTTATGCTGAGGTAGGTTGGATAGCTTAGATTAATAAACTAATTCTTCATAAAACTACATTGCAATGTTTGACGCAATATGTGTTTATTATGTAATTAAAGAAAAAAAAATTGGTTTACATTAAAGTATTACCTCAACATGAAACACACAAAAATAAAAAAGCTTCTTATTTTACTATAGGGTGAGAACTCTAAACAAATTCAGTGGCAAAATGGAGTTAAATTATCTGTGTAGCATTGTTACCGACTAAGATCAGCTGGTTATCTTAAGCATAGACAAAAAAAAAATATATATAGACTGACAAAGGAAGGTTTCCCCGATGTGCCGCTAGAGCGTGCTCAGGGTTCGTCAATTTTGCTGCCATCATCGATTCACCGTCTGCTACCAGCACTACCCACCTTGCAAACAAAATGCTCCTATGCAACATATCAGACCCACTTTTCAATATGGGTAAAGTACAAAATTCTGAAACCCCGTAGCTTTAATGGAAAAGCCCATTTTTATAAATCCCCAGAAATTGAAAAAAGAAACTGATTAAACTCCTTCCCCCAGATTCCGGGTAATACTCAACCCTGGCTCCAAATACCAACTTGTCATGGCAACGCTCGTTTGCGCTTGAGGCTGAAGCGGTATGCCTCAAAACTACACGGCACTCCTAGCGGTGGATGCCAGAATATATGATAACTGCAGCACTGCTGTCAGTCTATATTTAATTCTTTGGTCTATGTCTTAAATCAGGACCATTCTTCAAAACTCTTATTCAAACAATCAAAAAGCCTCTGACATTTCTCAATAAACTACAAGTTTTACATCCAAACAGGCTTTAGAATTTACAATAAGATGAAAAATGCACTGAATCATTAAGTTCCAATCGTATACGAAGCTTCTCTAATTAAAATCTAAATTATGCTTTAGTATTTCATGCTGAAGAGTTTCTGGGGGTTGTGCTGTCGTGCTGATGGTCACAGTATACAAGCACAGGCTGTGCTGACCAAACTGTGCTCACTCTTTGGACTTTCTTGTCTGGACAAACATCTTGTCTACTTGCATCAAGGTTAGTTGGCACAGCATGTCAGACATAACAATTTTCCTATACATTTTTAGTTATTCCAGGTTCTAGTATTTGATTTATAATACAGTAGTTATTAAATTTTTTGTCGGCATTTTGCCCAGCTGTATACATAAAAATGTACATTAAAATATTTTAAAGAAGACTACACCAGCTCTATAATTTTCAAATTAATCTACGACAGTCAACAACTGACAACAATGAAAAAAAAAACAGCAACCCACTGGCAACTTCATAAAGATCAGAGCAACCGCCCGAACATAAAGCTGAAAATTCCTTACCCTCAACTTAAATTGAACGCCAGCTCTAGTCCAAGAAACGAAACGAAGAAAATAAGATCTCATCATCCACCATTTGTTGAACATCGTATTACTAGCTCGATCTGACTATTGTGTTAGTGTGACAACAAGAAGACACTCTGAAGATACCACACATGCTGGAAAATTGTGCATAGGTAATAGGTTATACAAACTACCACTCAAGAAAAAAAGGTGCTAATAATAACAAAATTAATCATAACACGTCAATTGATACCTATTACAAACTAGGGTAAACTATTGATTCCTCAAATTTATTTGAAATGCTATCTCCCCATTATCTAATGATTTATTGCTAAATTAATTAAATTTCTACTTGGGTAGTATTTTGTGAGCTTTAATAAATTTTTGTCCCAAAATTGAGAATTTTTGCATAGACGTTGTTCCTGTGCAAATGTAACTATTTTGCTCATCTTATTGTACCCATTGTATTCTTTTGATATTTTCATTCTTGGTTACACTATTGTACAGTTCTCTCTCTGTGCTTTCCTTTGTGATTTTTCAGCATTAGCTTGGTTTGCATGTATAAATCTTGTGACATTTCAGTTACTTTTTTACCTGAGGGCAAAATAAGATTCAAGATTACATAGCGTCAAAATACTTGTTTTCTCCTAAATCACAGTTTAAAATGTCTGTAATAGTCTCTTAAAAATATAAACTTACAATTACCAAAAATAAAATCTACCAATTTCTTTACTACTGCTAACATATTACTTTTTCAACTTTTGCTTGATAGTTTTGCCATAAATGAATTCTAAGTAAAACAATTAAAGACAATTCCTTTGATGTTCTTATATTTGGAATAATTTATTTGTTCAGTGTACAGATAGGCCTACCATAAGTCAAAAATAGATTGACTATTTAATTTTTTGATATTCCAATAGAGAGTCGGGTTCTTTCTTTAAGTATCTTTAAACCTGCCCTTAGGTGGATTCATAGATGGCCATCAAAGCCAGTTGATACAAGACACTGTTCTGAGTTTATGTGAGCAGTTGAAGAATGAAGCCGTTTCGTTGGTCGACGCCATTGCTCCTCCCGACTTCATTTTGAACTCTGTTCTCGGAAATTCTGATGGCGAAGTAAGTTATGTGAAGTGAACTCAATCGTATTACAACTGTAATTAAAGCACTTTTTTATTTATGCAGCTTCAGATTCCAGATAACAATAAGTGGCAACATGATAGAAATCAGGAACATTTATTTTATTTTCAAAATAAACGGGCTTCCTGTAAAATCATATCATACTAATATTATAAATGTGAAAGTTTGTGTATTTGTTTGTTTGTTTGTTTGCAGTTCCAAGAGATTTCAAAAATTACATTTTACTTTTTTTATTAGTCTCTACATTGAGAGTTTTGCTGAGTCTGACCACACAAAGAAATTATGTGATTATCGCACTGTGCCTGTTTCCAGTGATTTCAATTATGATTGATTTTGTTACAGTTATACAAACACCTGGAACAATCTCTAATGAGATCAGCTACTCCGATGGGACGACCTGATTGGTGGAAAGAACTCTCAGGAAAATTTAGATCTAAATTGTAACTCAATAAAAGGTATCAGCAAACTGACACATAACTTACTTTCTCCTATCAGCTTGACATGACATTAAAATTGAACGTCCTACTGCCTTTTTAAGGGGAAAAATAATGGGTTAGTAATAGGTAGTATGGTGAACAAGTGTAATCCTATACAAATTAAGAATGAATAAAAAGTATCAGCATCAGCAACTCTGAAACATACGGTACTTTCTCCCATTAGCGAGTTTTTTTTTTATGGATCAGCTGGAGTTGTATTGTTAGTTCCACCCTGTTTACTGTAGGGTTGTGTTTTGTTTACAATTTGCTTCTTGTTATTTCAGTTATTTAAAAACTTCTTTAACCTAATAAAACATCTAAACAAGAACTCATCCCTTAGTTATATAGCTTAAAATAATAGAAACAAATTTTGTTGCCACAAGCGATCAGTGTTACCAACGAATTAGACACAGAAAACAAGCTTCAAAATTTACAATGGGATAAGAAGTCTACTTGTGTTGGTGAGTCAACGGTAAAACGTAAGAGTAAATGTGTGTCCAATTGCCCAAAACTTGGACGAGATTGCATAAGAGGATTCAAAAACACAAGAGAGGTTCCGAAAACACATGAAGAGTACTATTATCTAGCGGATTCCGCTGCTGCAGCCCATCACATTGCCACTGACCTCCCTATCACGTTTGTCTTATTGAGGCCAGTGAGCCAAGTGGTAATTGGAAGGAAATGTGGTGCATAAACAAGTTTATCTGTACCTTATTGAGGTCATCCATGTTGAATGTTGAGTCTAAGGCCTACAAATAAAACTAGAAAATCTCACTATCAAAGTTCTCTAGCTGCAAATTTTTTCAACCCCAAAAAAAATTTCTCGACTTTAATGATAGACTTTTTTTATGATCTTTTTGAAATTTTCCTTAAAAAATGGATGAACTCCCAAACTAAAATAAATGCACATCATTTTAGCGAATTTCCCATATAGGGAATAAGCTATTACCGTAGTACTCATGGTAAGACCTGGACCTGGGACCGATTTAATTTTTCATTTTGAGGTCCCTAGAGGCCAAAAACACCATCAGTTCAAATTCATATATATATATATATATATATATATGTGTGTGTGTGTGTGTCCGTTAGTGCGATTACTCGAGCAAAAATGATCCGATTTTAATTAAATTTGGTACAAACGTGTAAACCTACGTTTATTCAAAAGATTTCGCGATCCAGCATAATTGGACCATGGGAACAGGGGTTTATTTGAGGTTTTATGGTGTAAAAATGGGTTTTTCCCATTTTTGACCCTAAAAACAAACAGTTTTGCAATTTATTTTTAAACTGTTTTGTAGAGCTTAAAAAAGAAATAATTTAGTATATTAAAGCGCTGTTGTATGCCTAACGGTCATGGAGAAAATTCAAAACTGTTGTAATTTAAAATTCCCATGTTATTCTTATGGAGAAAATGAAAATTGTTGTAGCTTACTTATTTATGGATATAACTTATATTGATAAAATTTGGCAAATTTATTTATTTCATCCTATTACTATTGATGTATGGTCAAAAAACACTTTTTACCTTCCCCGTAGCAGCAAACCTAAACACTCGTTAAATCTAATGTTATTTAAATAGGGAATAAATATATCGTATTTACGGAAATATTTTAGTAAAAATTTACCTAATCAGACAAGTTGAAATTTGCTTAGTCTGCAGGTTTGTTGCGGCGGGGGTATTTATATGTATTTTAGGTATATTTTCAATGAATAAGTTTCTTCCAAAAAAGAGCGATTTAACGACAGCACATCCACATTGATTGGAATACAGTGTTCCGCTCTACGCTTCTGCAAATTCAAACTCAAACAGTTTTATTCATGCAAATCTTAAATTAGCTACAAAATCCCAAGTGCCATGCAAAGCACGAGCGGGATGAAAAACATAAATTTTTATTACCTAATACAATATTTATTTTCTTGTTGCTGGCAGCAGTGGCAGCAAACAGTTATTTTTTCCTTCTTAATCACTTTTACTGAACAGTATATGCGAGTAGACATTTCCTCTTGCAACAGTTTTAATCATATAATTAATACTTATTTTATAAATAAATCTAAATATATAAAAGGCAAAGCCCTCACTGACACACTCACTCACTCACTCACTCACTCACTCACTCACTCACTCATCACTAATTCTCCCACTTCCCATTTACCTAGGAGGCTGAAATTTGGTACACCGATTCTTTAGGTATTAAATAGGAAAACTAAGCTATTTTTATTCTGATCGGACTCTCGGGCTCCGCCCCAGTGGCTCTGGAGTTTCCCATGTTAACCTTATGAGTACTCATATTTAAATGGAATTAATGAATACTAGTCCCAATCGATTTAAAATAACTAAAACCATCGAAAACCACACCTCACACGACCTTAAACGTAAAAACAAAATTATTCAGGATTAAGGGCCCTTCGGAACAAAAAGGGCCCCAAAAAGGGCCTTAGCACGCCCAAAATTTTGGGGACTCATCGGATCTTCATTTCTCATATTATTAGTAACTCACGGGTGAAATTTCATGAATGTACAAATTTTGTTGTTTATATGGAGTGTTTTTGTATTATTTTACCTGTACTATAAATAAATGTACTCAATGCGTTTCATTGGATTGAAAAATAAAATAAATAACAGCAATTAAATTATACAGCTGATCAAAATGTAAACAATTGTGTTCTCCATAAGGATAACATGGGAACTTTCAAAGCCAATGGGGCAGAGGCCAAGGGACTTTTTCAAAAATGTAAGGCCAGTTTGCAAATCTACGCGACACGCTCTTTCCAATGAGACGTCAATGGATAAAATCAGTTAAGAAATGGCGGAGGAGTTCAACCGACAAAGTTTCGTGTAGCGTATTAATTATATAGATTAACTGCTGTTTCAATTTTAAACAAGTTGGTTCTGTTCTATGATGTGCAATATCATTTAAGTTACAAGGATTACCAACAGGGTGCGGCACTATTTTTTTTTAAATTTATGACTACAGCTAATTTGCAACCAAAAGGTGAGTGAGCGTAGCGAACGAACTTCAACCTGGAGGCGAGTTAGCGTAGCAAACGAGCTAACCTGAAGGCAAGTGAGCGCAGCGAACGAGCTCCAACCTAAAGGTGAGTGAGCGTAGCGAACGAACTTCAACCAGGACGTGATTGAGCCATGCGAACGAGCTCACTTATGAAGTAAAACGGGGTAAAGCCCGTGGGTACAGCTAGTAAGTTATAAATAAATAAATCAGAATAAATTTAATGAGAATATGCTTCTTTTTTTTAAAGTCTGCAAATAAATAGTTTGCTAAATAGCTAAACAAAGCTAAAAATAAGTTACAGATTATTTATGGTATATTATGATTGACAGAAAACAGCAAAGCTTTTGACTTTATCACAGACATTTAATAATTATAAACTTCATTACAAAACATTTTTACAAACACATTAAAACATTTTGGACCAACACAACAAAACTGATTCCTACTATAGTTCAGCCGCTTAGAAAACGACCTGCGTTCTAATGCTAAACCAATGCTGGAGGAGGTCGCTTTCTAAGCGGCCAAACTATAGTTTCCTTTTTAAAAAGGCTTTCTGCCAACAAGTGATATTTTGCTGATCAAGATAATCTGACAGGTTTCTAGACATATACTGATATTTAAAAACTAACATACAAACAGTATACATGCAATTGATTCGAGGTTACCCTAAAAAAAACTTTTCTTGTTCAAAAAGATAGCTCACTCTATCAGATTTTTTAAAACCAAATACTGTCCTCAGTGCATGTCTTTGGTTCATGATGACAGGTTGTAAGATAGTAGGATAAGTAACTACCCCCAAAATGCATTACCTATTCCATATTTCATCACACATTCAAACCCTGAAGTGTACACTTGTTTTAAATTTAATTCTTACTAAGTGATACAAAAGCATAATTTATTTTCATTGAAAGTTGTTTTACATACTGCTCCTACTTAAAATGATGATCAACAAACAATCCACTATATTTGACATATTCTACTACTTCAATACAACTGCAAGACCAATTATACATACAAGAGTGTTTATGGCACAATAAGTAAAATTCATTTTGTAACAATCTGTTTTCAATCAGCCAATTTGATATCTTTTCTAAATCCCTTTCTTATTTTTAGTTTCAGTGATTCTTTATTTGAAAGCAGAGCACAAAAGACCTGTGTCATCAGCATAATATTTCTGAATACAAATCAAGCTGCAGCTCCAGCAAGTCTTTTATATTTTTTTTAAATAATGGGGTCCAAAACCTCTCCTTGAGGGGTGCCAAGCTGCAAATCAAGCACTTCACTCAAAACACTATTAAGATTAAGTTTCACAGCCTGCTTTCTTCTTTTACAAAAAGATTGCAGCTTGCAACCACTCCAAAGCCCTAACATCACATATGCCATATTTTCTAAATTTTGAAAATAGCACATTATTATGATCCAAAACATCTAATGCTTTTTGAAAATCTAAATACACAGACAATTAATGTATATTTATGTTTGTCAATGGCATCAGTGATAGTAGGCTACTGACATGTCTTAATTGTTTAAACTAATTACCTACCTTAAAAGTGTTCATAAACAAGCAATTACAACAGTTTTATTCAACATAAAAATGACATGGGATTTTTAAATTTTCTCCTTAACGATCAAGCACATGACAATGCTTATTTAAATAATTTTTTTAAAGCTTTATACAATTGTTTAGAAAGAAATTGTAAAATGTGGTGTTTTTAGGGTCAAAAAAGGGAAAACCCGTCGTTTTACCCCATAAAACCCCCAATAAACTCCCGTTCTCATAGTCCGATCATGCTGGTTCGCGAACTCGTTTGAATAAATGTGTAGGTTTACTCGTTTCTACCAAAATTCAAAATAGTATCAAATTTTTACTTGAGTTATTGTGCTAACGGACACATAATTAAAAATTGGCATGTTTCATACCTTTAGGTAATTTTTTCTAACATGGGTCTCTTTCACCGTACATAAAAATGGTGTAAAGACCGGAAACATAGAGTTTGTG